TTGTACCAAAGGTCTTCACTGAACTTTTAAGAAATAGATTTTTAATATTAAGAAATTGAGCACTAAACATAAAGAATGGAAAGATCAAGAACATGGGGAACCAAAGGAGGAGGCTATATGGGACCAAACATAGATTCTTAATAGTGATGAGAGAGACTGGCTAAGGAAGAACATGTACTGAATTGTCTCCTGTTAATATTTCTGACAAGGAGGGTGGTGGTGGTGGTAAAAGGATAATCCCTGGAGACAAAGTCACATGGAATAAAGTGACCAATAGGAGAATTTTGCTACTCAGAGGTGAACTGTGTCAGTAAAGTATCTTTAAAAACACAAGGGTGGATCCCATGCCTATGTCAGGAAGTATGTTTCACTCCCCTTTCTGTCTAAAGTCACAGGACAAAACTCCACAGTTTCTTCTGATAACTTCTCTCTTCTATTTTGAATATTGCTGTACAGCATTTTTAGTAAAGGTTCCAGCCCATGGATAGGAATCCAAGGTGAGCTTATATGTAGTAATCTCTAAAGAAATTAACCCAAAAGAGTGGGAGGGAAGGCGGGAAGAGTGACATTTGGAGTCACCAGCGTTATTACCTTTTTTTATTGGGTGGCAAGGACCAGTCCCAGCCATGGGTCTATTCCAGCTTAGATATTCCGAGGGAGAATTGTGTCTGACTTGTGAGAACACATGCTGTTGGTCAGGAACTGAACTCCTGCACTGATACCCTCTAAATACGCAGATTGGAGGTCATAGATTTGCTTCACATGACAGAGTTTATAATCACTTGTGAAATACATTGCAAGAACATTGTTATTTAGGTAAAGCACTGATATTGTGAATATTTTCATCATCAGTTAGAGGGTCTGGGATTATCTTATAACTTCAGTCTTACTCATAAACAGATAATGCCTTCCTGATTTTGAGAAAAAGAGTAGCAATACATTTCTGAAAAATTGCCCCAAATTGGATTGCAGCTAGCATGCAAGAAACACACACAATTCTGTGAATGCCTATGGGGCTTTGTGGCTCATGAGAACATTATTGGTCATGTGTGGGGTAGAATGAAGGCTGAGAACCTCCAGTGTAATCCAGTAAAGGCCAATTTGTCAAATTAAGTTAGTCAATTAGATATTTGCCTTTTAAATGCAACACACACACTTGATACAGCAATTAGATAAAGCAAATTAGTCACAATGTTTGAAAGTTGTTCTCCAGACTGAAAGGAAAGTACAACTTTGTCTTTATATACATATGAAGCTCTTTAAATATGTTTGTCGTCACAAAGAAAATGAGTTGGTTGGGCTAGGACTAGGATTACAGTTTCCAATTTTAAAGTAGGGATAGGGGCGTCTGGGTGACTCCTCAGGTGGTTAAACATCAGACTCTTGATTTTGGCTCAGGTCATGATCTTAAGGTCATGGATCTAGCCCAGAGTTGGCCTTACCCCTCTCTCTTCTGCTTGAGATTCTCGCTTTTGCCCTCTACCCCTCCCCCCACTCAGGCTCACATGCTCTCTCTCTCTCTCTCTCTGTTTCTCTCTAAAAATAAGTAAATAAGTCTTTAAGGTAAGGATAAAATTGGGCAGAACTGGAGGCAGGGTGTTAACAGCAATGAAAAGATATTCTTTTTATTTTGTAATCATGTAATCCACATTATCTTTCAATAGTTTTAGGTTACACAAAAGCAGTAGTACATTATAGCCATTAATAGTGAAAATAGAAGACAAAGTATTTTCAATTTGGATTTAGAATGTATTATATAGTTTTAAAAAAAGATTTAATTTAATTTAATTATTTTATTTTATTTATTTTTTAAGTCAGCTCCATGCCCAGCATGGAGCCCAAAGTGGGGCTTGAACTTACAACCCTGAGATCAAGACCCGGGGCTAAGACCAAGAGTTGGACACTTAACTGACTGAGCCACCCCAGTGCTATTAAGTATTCTCTAAACCCAATGTGGGGCTTGAACTCACAATTCCAAGATCAGGAGTTGCATGTCCTACCAACTAAGCCACTCAGGCACCCTTATTATACTTATAAATGGATATAGTGATTCATGTTTTGGGAGTCACTTTCAAAAACCTAATAAATCTTGGATGAGGTTACCTGATACTCTCCAGCACACGTTGTTACTTTAATTTTTCTCATGCTGTGAGTAGAACTTTCCCTCTCACTGATGCATGTTTAAGTCTTCACTGATGTTGAAAAGGTCATTGTTACAAGGGCTATAACAAGACAGATCAAAATATTAAAATATTGAGAAAACAGGGGCACCTGGGTGGCTCAGTTGGTTGAACATCTGACTCTTGATTTCAGCTGGGGTTCTGATCTCAGGGTCATGGGATCAAGCCCTATTTGGGCTCCATGCTGGGCATGGGATCTGCTTAGGATTCTCTCTCTCCCTCTGTTCTTCCCCCTGCTCACTCTCTATTTCTCTAAAATAAATAAATCTTAAAATAAAATAAAATATTAGAGAAAACAACTTTACAATATTAAAAACCATTGAAAGAATTTCTTGAGATTCAGACTTATGGGAAACCTTGAAATGTGGTTTATTAATTTCACTTTTTTGTACCCAAACAACCTAAGTTATCAAGGTGAACTGTGATCAGACAATATAATTGATTTTAGGACACTGGGAAAGAATTTAAAACCCAAAGAAAGTACCTTAAGACCTAATTTATTTATTTTTATTTATTTTTATTTTTATTTTTAATTAAAGTATAGTCGACATATTTGTTTCAGGTGGGCAGCATAGTGATTCAACAGTTATATACATTACAAAATGCTTACCATGATAAGCATATGCTATCTGTCACCATATAATGTTATTATAATAGTATTAACTATATATCCTATGCTGTACTTTTCATTCCTGTGGGCTTACTTATTTTATAACTGGAAGTTTGGACCCCTTAGTTTCCTTTACCTATTTTGCCCATCTATCCACCTCTCTCCCCTTGAGCAACGCCTAGTTTGTTCTCTATATTCATAAATGTATTTTTCTTTGTTATTGTTGTTGTTTGTTTGCTATTTGTTTTTTATTCTAGATTCCACATATAAGTGAAATTATATAATTGTCTGTCTGTATGACTTATTTTGTTTAGCATAATACCCATTAGTCCACCCATGTTGTTAGGAATGGCAAGATTTCATTCTTTTTTTTATGGCTGAGTAATATTTCATTGTATATACATGCATTCTATATATATATGCTTATCCATTCATCTGTTGATGGATACTTGGGTTGCTTCCGTATCTTGTATCTGTATTTTGGCTTCTGGATAATACTGCAATAAACATAGGGGTGCATATATCTTTTTAAATTCATGTTTTTATTTTCCTTGGGTACATACTCAGAAGTGGAATTACTGGATTGTATGGTACTTATATTTTTAGTTTTTTGAGGAATCCGTACTGTTTTCCAATTTACATTTGCACCAGATTACATTGGCATGAATAGCGTGCAAAAGTTTCCTTTTCCCCACATCCCTGCCAGCACTTGTTATGTATTGTCTTTTTCGGTACTATTCATTCTGACTGCTCTTAGGTAATATCTCCTTGTGGTTTTGATTTGCATTTCCCTGATGATTAGTGATATTGAGTATCTTTTCATGTGTCTGTGGTCATCTGTATATCTTCTTGAGGAAAACATCTGTTCAGGTCCTCTCCCCATTTTAACTGGATTATTCGGGTTTTTTGGAGTGTTCACTTGTATGAATTCTTTATATATTTTGGATATTAGTCCATTATTGGAAATACCTTTGCAAGGATCTTTTCCCTTTCAGTACGTTGCCTTTTCATTTTGCTGATGGTTTCCTTCACTGTACCAAAGCTTTTTCGTTTGTTGTAGTCCCAGTTGTTTATTTTTCCTTCGTTTCCCTTACCTGAGGAGACATATCTAGAAATATTTTGCTGAAGTTAATGTCCAAGAGGTTACTGTCTCTGTTTTCTTTTGGGAGATTTATGGCTTCAGGTCTTACACTTAGGTCTTTACTCCATTTTGAGTTTTATATTTTTGTGTATGGTATAAGATAATGGTCCATTTTCATTCTTTTACATGGAGCTGTCCAGTTTCCCCAGTACATGTATTGAAGATACTATCTTTCCCCCATTTTATATTTTTGCCTCCTTTGTCATAAATTGACCATCCAAGTGTGGGATTATTTCTGGGTTCTCAACTCTGTTCCATTAGTCTGTGTGTCTGTTTCTGCACCAGTACCCTGCTATTTTGGTTATTTTAGTTTTGTGATATAGTTTAATAAGGGAGTGTGATACCTCCAGCTTTGTTCTTCCCTTTCAAGACTGCTTTGGCTCTTCCAGGTCTTCTATGGTTCTATACAAATTTTACAATTATTTGTTCTAGTTCTGTGAAAAATACTATTGATATTCTCATAAAGATTGTATTGAATCTATAGATTGTTTTGGGTAGTATGGGCATTTTAACATTAATTCTTCCATTCCATTGATATAGTATATCTTTCCATTTATTTGTGTTAAGACCAAATTTAAAGGTAATATGCTTTCATTGTAAATTAATGAAAAATATAGAAAATAGCAAGAATAATGTCAAAATTTCCTATAGGTCTAGCATTTCTTAAATATAGTGTAACTGCTTTTTAGTATTCATTGCATCTTTTTTCTTTTTTATTAATTTTTAAAATATATTTTATTTTATTTTAATTTAATTTTATTTTTTTTTAAGTAAGCTCTTCACCCAGTGTGGGGCTTGACATCATGACCTTGAGATCAAGAGTTGCATGCTCCACTGACTGAGCCAGCCAGGTGCCCTTGTTTGTGTGTTTTTAAAGTAAAATTGTGATCTAATAATTTTAACTGCTTTTTTTCTTTTCATATATTAGAAACATTTTCTAAATCATCAAATATTATTTTATGGTATAATTTTTATAGCCATTTAGTATAGAAAGGACTTTAAATGTTTATTTGATTCAGCCAGAGCTTACTGCAATAAATTACTTATAGGTTTTTCCCTCCCTGGGTAGGTTTTAGATACTTGCACAATGAGAATGAACCTAAATTCACCAGCCAGATATCTTTATGATTGGTATGGCAGAACAATTAAAGATATTTCAAACGGTAAGTGGCAAAAATTTTATAAACTCTAACATTTCAAAAGGTACTTACATAATTTTGCTTTTATTTTATGTATTTAAAAGGAAAACAGCTATAATACAAGTTTAGTTTTACCATGGATAAATATGTCATTCTTATACAAAAGGGAATTCTGAAAGGGATTAAATTTTGAGCAATTTTTATTTTAGCATGTGTTGGTCCCACAAAATTACATTGGCTGGGTGACTTGAACAACAATTTATTTCTTACGGATATGAAGTCCAAGTCCAAGATCAAGGCCCTGGCAGGTTCATCGTCTTTTGAGGGCCCCTTAACTGATTCATAGATTGCTATCTTCTCACTTTGTACTTATTGGTAGTAAGGGCAAGAGTGCCCTCTGGGGTCTCTTGTATAAGGACACTATTTCCATTCAGGAGGGCTCTACCCTTATGCCGCAATTACCTCCAAATACCATCACATTAGCTTTCAACATTTGAAATCTGGGGGGACATAAACATTCAGCCTATAGCGCAGCTCAAGTTTAGGTTTCAAAAAAATGAGTATTTTAACTTTAGTAAGCCATCACTTAATAAACAAAAGCAACTGATAAATTTTCATAATTTAACAGGCATTTTCTTCAGTATATAGCTTTCAGAAGAGAAAAGAGAAATCATACTGCTGTGTTCTCAGATAAACATGTTTTTAATTGTTTTGGTTAACTTCTAGAGGTTTTCAAAAGTTATGGAATGTGTTTTAAAACAATTTCATTGCGTGTCTTTGTCAAAATATGAGACCTCCATCTGTATTTCTAAAAGCACTGATTTGCTAGTCTCTAAAAGCAAAAATACCATGAATTCCATATTGTACTGCTATTAAATTACTATTAGTAGTAATTGCTACTATTTATTTTTTTACTTTTTAAAATTTACTTTTTATTGCTTTAGTTGTAATTACTATTACTTTAGTAGTGTTACTATTAATACTACCAAATGTACTACTGTTACAATCCTATCCCTTCCTTTAAGTCTTAACTCCATATGCCTGAAAAGGGCCAAAATATTAAGTGGCATACTTAAACTGCAAGGCTAGATCCAGAAAGCTTTAATTTTTTTTTAGGATATGGCTATACTGAGTACCTACATTTGTTTCTAATATCCTTGCTTATACTGTATTAAAGCAAACCATTACTGACTTTATCATTTTAATACTCCAAGTGTCTACTATTATATTTTGATACTTATTGTTATAACTCTTAAATTTTTTCTGCCAGGGATTATATGTGTGTTTGTGTATTTAGAAAGTAAATAAATTGTTTCTTGGTCATTTTTAATTGTTTGTGTTAGATATGATAATTATTTTTCATTTTATTAGGAGTTTTTATCTGAAGATTTCAAAACTTCTGTAGACATACCAATTAACTAGCTCGTTACGTACCTGTAAGACATATGTAACACATGGAATACTTCCTTATGGTTTTTTTTAACGGGAGGATACAGAGGGTATCATTATGGAAGTTTATTTCTTCTTTCTTGCAGTCTCCCTGATCACACTGGCTAAAATGATCTTTATGATCAACAATATTATATAATTGGGGTACCTTGGTCGCTCAGTGGGTTAAGCCTCTGCCTTCAGCTCAGGTCATGATCTCAGAGTTCTGGGATCAAGCCCCACATCAGTCTCTCTGCTAAGCAGGGAGCCTGCTTTCCCTTCTCTTTCTCTGCCTGCTTCTCTGCCCACTTGTGATCTGTCTGTCAAATAAATGAATAAAATCTTCGGAAAAAAATTATTATATAATCACTCTTAAACTTGCATTAACAAAATAAATAACACATTTTCTTAAGATCCTATCTAGCTTTGAATTATTTCCAGCTCACCAGGAATTAAAAAATTATATATGAATAAACTGTTAGAATTAAAACTATAAGGAACGCTGGTTAAAGGGAAAGATTTATATTTAGAAAGTTGATTTTTTCCCCTCCCAAATGCGGTATAACAGAATTACTTATCGAAACATAAAACCTCTGACTCTGAGGTGTGATGCTTCATGGATGCCGGAGGCATTCAGATTCATGCCTCATGCTTCACATGTCCCAGAAGTGTGCTATTATCACATTTTAATGCATGCCTTTCCCTGTGTTTTTGCATACTTATAAAAGCTTATGCCAGCTGAAATTAGCCTATGCAACTACTAACATGTGGAAGCATAACAAGTTCACTAGACTTAACATACTCAAAAAGCTAATCCTGTTGGAGGAACTTCCAGTCTGTAGCACCGTAGTCACTTAACATTAAATTTTTGCATTTCTTTTTTCTTTGTTTGTTAGTATAATTTGTGCATCAAATGATTGAAGTCCCTAAACTTTTATATTTGATGGTCTTCTGAACTTCAGCTTGGAAAAGGTCAAGTGTTATGTGAAAGTTGCCTTTTAATATAAATAATCACTAATACTCTCATTTGATGTGTGACTTTTGTTGTTTGCTTGTTTTATGTCAGATCCGAAAATCGCGTCTAATGTTAAGATCACGGCAATGACTTTTTATTTATAAAGACAGATTAGAAGTATAATTGTACCAAGGACTAAAAAGTAAAAGATACACAAAATGCTTCTTTTTTAGAATCATATATACTTTGAAGATTTTCTTCCTGTGCTGTGAGAAATGAGCACAATTGACCTAACACTAAACTTTTTACTTTATCAAGTCTAGTGAAACCCTTAAAAACCCATGGGATTTGAAAATTGTTTATGTTTTTAGGTTTCCAAACCATAGAAGATTTTAACAAAGAAATTTATATTGTTGTATGTGGAAAAGTTCTTTAGTTATGGCTCCTACAAAGATCTATTCTTTCTAAGGTAAAAGAGAACTATCCACACTGTAAAGATACCATATTCCTATATGTGGTCAACATGCTAATACAGCATTTCTGCTAGAACATAATGCAAAAAATGCATTCTACAGAATCACTCCCATCAAAATTACAAGGCAGTGAAAATAATAGTGTTGAGGAAAATCATTCAAAATCTATGCACCTTTAAAACCAGAATACTAACTTAGGTAATAATTATTAACTTAGGAGATACTGTAAACAGCCTGGATAGGTATCTTAGAGTACCGCTTCAGAGAATAGTAAAGCTGCACAAAAACATCAGAGGATGAGACAATGCAGATGGAATCAACTGGAGGGTTGAGCCATTGGGGCTTCCTTTAAGGAAGGCACAGGAGGAAGCAAAACTCCCAGAGTCCTGCAAGAAACCCCAGTGCTGCAGCCAAGATAAAATCTTTTTTCTTTCCTGGCAAAGAATAGAATTCTACTCCTTCTCTGTTGGCCTCCTTTGCCTAGGAAAAAGCACATATTCTCCAACCAAACTTCTATATTGCACGGACATCCTTCCCCTATTGAGATATATGGTATTACAGAAGCCTGTAACAGTGGTAGCACACATGTAGCTAGTGTCACATTTGGTAGATTTGTTTAATAACACTCTCATTCTCCCTAATATTTCCTAACTTTTTGTTCTCTTAGCTTCTTTGGCTTAATTATTCCATTATGGTGAACCAGAGAAGTCACTCTCTCTCGAGGACCTTAAGTCTCTTAGGACCTATTATTCCAGTAACCAAACCCTGCTTCTGAGTGGATCCTTCTAGATTCTGGTGGGTAATATGAAATGTACACTAGAAGATTCTGAAATGACTTAGAAAATAATTAAATTGGTTCCAAGGCCATGCTTTGAACACTGAATGTTCATTTCCTATTCCATTCCTCACCCCAAATTATACATAGTAGCACTGTCCAAAATAGCTATTTTCTGACACGTTCTTCTGAGATTCTATAATGCAATGAGATCAAATGACAGGATTAACGTATTTCAATCACAAAATTCCAAAAACATACCCTGAACTTGAATGTTAACTCTTGTCCGTTATGGAATTTTTGTGAAGAAATTAAAGTCAAAGAATAAAATTCCGAAGAAATGAAAATCCCGTTTTTACATTTACACAGAAGTGAATTCCAAAATCAACTAATTTACCTCTGTGAGTTAAAATCCAATAAAAGTTCCAACTCCTCAAGTTGAAATTCAAAGAAACGAAAGTCCTTAATTTTTATTCTTCCCTGTGTCAGCCAGATGACTTCTGGATGCCTAGTTTGAACTAGAATTCCTCCAGCACCTACCTTCTGGGCTCCTGCCATGGGTGTCATCCCTTAGGACCTGAGAAGTTGAATTAAGTCTACACCAACTTTCTCATGCACCCTAATTCTAATTCTGGTGGCAAAGCATCCATCTTGCCTCAGGAGCAATAATTTCAATCCTGGCTCATAACGGCTGCTGTCATGGCTTCTGTCTATGGAATCATTTAAGCCAAAAAACCCTACTTTGTGAACACAGCTTCCTCCTCATCTTCATATCAGTTCCCATTAGAGAGTAACTTTGCTCCATGGATTTCTGATTCGAGGTGGCTGTTTATGTTTCTGAGCCTCATGGTCTTAGTATTCAGTGAGGACTAGCACAATCTCATTTCTTCCTGTAGACAGGGTCTTTGCTCAGTTTTTGGATGCTTCTGGTCTTAACATTTCTGTCCCTTCTTTCTACAGTATTTAGGATTTGTCTCTACTGTATTCCAATTCCTTTCAGAAAGTTTCCCTTCTCTAACAGGCACCGGCTGTATTGCTTGCTGCAGTGGACTTCTTTCTTTTCTTTTACTTTCCCTTTGCTATTTGTTTTATTCTTGTGTTTTTCTATCATATTCCTGTAGATATTTTTCTTGCAGCGTGTGTCATAGTGAGAGATATGAAGTCAATAAGCTCCAAGTTTGTCAATATCATCCTTTGTTCAAACCAGTCCTACCCATTTTCACCTCCCTGAGTTAAATAATCCTACCCAGGATGTATTTTCCCACAGTCTAACATCGAATTTTGATCTGACTCTTGATCTATTATTGCTGTGCCTGGATCTTCTGTAATATAATTTATCCTCTCTTTGGCTTTTCTTAATCTTAGACCCAGAAATTTGGGGTGTTCCCTAAAT